TGGAATCTTGTCAGACGGCATTTCACAGGACGGCCTGCAAAACACGCTTCCCTTGGGGCGCCTGGGTGGCTCAGTCGGTTAAGCATCTGACTTCGGCTCAGGTCATGACCTGCCGGTTCATGGGTTCGAGCCCCGCGTCGGGCTCTGTGCTGATGACTCCTCAACCGCTCTCACTCATCAGTCACCCAAACCCGGGGCCCGAATCACGTTTCCAGAGGCCACTGGGAACCAGCACAGAGGTTGTGCTGATCAAGAAGTCAGGAGAGGGGCCATTTCTGAGCATCTTCCACGTGCCGGGCGCGTGCTGGATGCTGGTCCAGGCAGCACGACCCTCAGACGTGCTCTCCCTGGGAACGAGCCAGTTTCTGCCAAGGCAAGCGCTGTCATGTCGCTGAGCTGCTGCAGACTAAGAACTGGCATGGACCACCTGGGTTGAAGCGAAGGACGCCCGAGGAACTTCTCCCCCAGAAGCTCTGGACACCGGTCGGTCACCACTGGGTGCGGAAAGCCATCCTCCGGTCCCGGCGTCAGCCCGGCATGGTCCCCACTGCCACAGCCAGGGTGGCAGGGCGGGTCAGGCTTTGTAAGCCCCGGAAGGCCAGTCCTGGTCCCTTCTCTAGGAAGGTCACCCGAGCGGGCAGCACTCAACGACTCGTCCGCCGAGGCGCTCTCCGATGCAGGGGCGGGAGATCGCCCCGCCGCGGGGCCTTTGCAAACCGCCCCACACCCGGCCGAGTCCTGGCGGTTGTGGGGAGCGCTGCTGTCACCAGTGGGCACGTCGGAATCCTCCGTTGGGGGAAGGCTATTGCGAAAATGATTTAGACGGTCTGCTGAGACCACCAGGTGGAGACCGCGGTTAGGATTCACCCCATCGGCCGCATTCAAAGTCCCGAGACTGGGATGAAGGCCTCTGCGAGTGAACACATTTTACTTTGGTCCATGAGAACCGGAGACAGACAAAGGCAGCGAGGTTGCTCGTGCCTGGTCGGGGGCAGGAACACCAGCTTCTGGGCTTTGGCCGTGATGGGTGAGTGGAAGCGTGCAAGGAAAAGGAGCCCCACTTCTCCGGATCTCCCCGATGGAGGGGCTGGGCTAAATGGTGAAAAATTTTCCTCCCCAACCCAGTTTCTCGAGGGTCGGGGAGGAAAGGCTGTGGACCACTGATGGGCAATCCAGGCCGAGCCTCTGCCTCAGGCTGTAGAGAGGAGCCAGCTCACGAGTGGGTGAGTCAGCAGCCAGAGGGGGGGCGGGCGGGCACCAGTGTCCCCAACAAGGACGGATGCAGTATTGCTCGTTGCACTCTGGAGGACACAGCCCGCAGGACGCTGCCGTGGTAGCGGCCAGGGTAGGAGAAGACCACCCTGCGGATAAAGCGGTCCTGCTGGCTAACGGTCGTGGGTCCGCTGCTCTCTGGCCACACACGTGAGGGAGGGACCGCCATAAACAACACACCCATCCCCCCTTTCCAAGATCAAGCAGCACTCATGCTGAGTGAATCTCTACATGCCGAGAACCTAAATGTGAAGCCTTTTGGGGAAATTCTGGTTTCCCGTTGAAAATGAGGGTGGCTTAGTCAGTGAGGCGTCCGACTTCGGCTCAGGTCATGATCTCACAGTCCGTGAGCT